GGGGGGGGGGCATGAAAAGGAAGAGAAATAAAGGCATCAGTAATTCAATAAATAAGATTGTTTCCCTCAGAGATAATAGACAGATATTATAGATATAATCCATCTATATCTCTTTAATACAGTTTAAAGCCACTCTGCAGCCTCACAATCGCTGTGTGTCTGACACCAGCNTTTACTCTTTATCCTGTTTTGACACCGTTTACAGCTGTATTTTTTGTGCTTACTGTCGCCGTTCTCACCTGCATTAGCTCATTAACTTTCAGTAGCTGGATGTTAAATAATTTAAATCTTTAATCTGTCCATCACACAACCAGTGAATTAAAGATACAGAACATCAAGCTGGAAATGACAAGTCCAGATTCTTTCTCCCAGTTTTAACTTAATTTCAGACTGTTTCTTACTGATTTGAATACTTGTGTATAATACTAAAAGTTCCCTAGTTTCCTTATTTTTAGATATGTCAGTAAACATGTAAAAACTGGTGTCATATTGATCTCATGTTTGATCCTCCTTCTATTGTTATTTTATTGTTTTTATTTGCATTTTTATTCTGTGTAATCCGCTTTGTAACCTTGTAAAGAAAAGTTCTATAGAGATTAAGTTATATATTTGACCATGTATTCATATGTATTTATTGTTTCTATAAAGCACTTTGAACTTTGTATTGGAGTCATGTCTAATGGATGTGATATAATCGTCCCTGCAGTAAATCAGTGAGACGTGTGTCTGCAGGAGAAAGTGAGGAAAATGTTCGCGTGTAAATACCTGTGAAGGTGTGTGTGCTCCACCCAAAGTAGCTCCAGGCAGTTTAAAACAAACACAGATACTCTCTCTGATATCACTGCAGGATTTCTCTCCATTACATAACCTCGTCTGAGCTCTGAATCTAGTTTTACCTCAGCAGGAGGCGCAAAGTTGTCCACAGCATCCAGTCAGAGCTTCTCTTGTTGTTTGTGTTCGTGATTACATTCAGAGAGCAACCGGATAGCTTTGTTTGGGTCAATGAGTGGAGATATTAGGAAGATTTTTGTACCAGCAGGATAAAATCAGGATAAATCATCTTTGATTGATCTACCTTGAATAACGTAGATTTCTCTCATTAATATCAAGAAGATGATCACAAGAGGTTTCAGACTGATAATATTACAATAATGTCAGTACTTACATATATTTTGTCTTTGCTGTATCTCACACGAACGTTGTTGAGCAGAGTGGCTTCATTCAAGTACATCAAAGAACCTGAAAAGAGTCAGTGGAACAACAAAGGCTGCCTGTTAATAATACGGCATTAAAAAAATATGAACACATATCAAACATTATTACAGGAGTCAAACGTTCTCTAACTCTCCGTCGCGTTAAAAAAGAACTAAAATAATTAGCTAAAGCTAATAGATTAGCAATAATTGAAACAGATCACTAGAGGTAATGGATACTGGAGGACAGTACAACAACTGCAATGATGTAATATTTGGATTAAAGACTGAATAAAGACTATTTTTCTGTTGTGGATTTACAGGAATCAATCTGCACTCAGCAGGTAATGAAGGAGGCGAAACATAAACTCACAGTTATCCTCCACGTGTTTGTTGACGTCATCCTCTGCAGGGAAGACTTGGTTGATAGCAGCCACAAATGTCTGCAGAAAACAGCAAAGTGTGAAGAATTAAGTAAAAACTCTAATGCAAGAACAACATCAGTAGTGTAATATTTAATGCTATATGAATATATATGTATAGTTCATATTATATTCAATAATAACAGCAGAGAACTGATAAACAATGAACACAGTGAACAACTGCTCAGTTTGAGCAGATTATTTCCTGTTAATATTGATCAGAGATTAGTTTTATGAGCTATTTTCATACAATTCTCTGTCTGTATTATACATTTGTATCAACAATCATACAGACTTAAAAGGCTTATTTTCTGATAGATTCATTGTTTTTCTCTCATTGTTCTATTAGATTTTGGGTTGTTTTAACTGCAAACTTTTCAAATAAATATATAATATATATAAAAATGACAATTTCGTTTAATTTTCTTCTTTTTATTGTTTGTTTAGGGGAAATTGAGCCGTGTACAATATCAAATCAATAATCTAACAGTTTTTTTATTGAACACTGCATCAAGTTGAACTCAGTGATCAGTGATTTTCTATCAGTCCGTTAAATTTCCGTTTTTAGAAATCTTTTTCTTTCTGCTCTCAGATTATTTCGGTCTTGTTTTTCAGGGCTGAGATTTTAAATAATACATTCATCCAGAGGGATAAATATACCAGCTGATGAATTATTTGCAGGCAGCAGGTAACAGGATCAGAGCGAGAGGAGGTTCGGACAGAGAGCGGTCGACACCTCCACGGCCGAGAGCCACGACTCTATTTAATTATTAACCATCTGATCAACTCAAAATAACAAAATACATCTTCAAACATTTCCAATTCTGACAGAAGATAAAAGAACCAATCACAGGTGTGATGAGATCGGCAGCGTCTCAACTTAAAATGAGTTTATTGTTCTAATATCTTCATCAGGTCGGACGGTTTTAAACTTTATACTTCTACTGCACTCGTTGACTGTATGATAAATAGTAGACGCAGCCATCGTAACGACACTCATTTGTTTGTAGAGTATCGTTGTACTGCAAATTTGGTTAGTTTAATTTAATGGAGCCAGAAGTATATTTGGATTAAACGTTGCGGCTGCAGAAGGATTCAGCTCCTGACTGGATCTGACTGAGAAAACACACTAATAAAATGATTATTTATTGTTATTGAGGGGATAAAAGGGGTCCTCCTGGTCCACCGTTCTCCTCCCAGTAGTTCCCGTCTGGAGCCTCGATGGCAGTGATTTAGAACCGTTCGTTTAACCTCCTCATACAATCTTATTGTCACATTTTAGCTCCGAACTGGTCTTGGATGTACGCTGCGCTGTGTGAACGTAGAAGATACTGAAACTATTACAGGAAATACAAAACTTATTTTAAATTATGTTTTAGAGATCTCATAGTTTAAACTTTGTAGTTATTTTTATTTTGTTTTTAAATTCATTTATCAATGGTTCCATAGGTTAAAACCCAATGCTTTATTTTACTCTAAATGGGAACATCATTTTCTAAATGAACATCATGCTGTATGGAAGAAGACTGAAACTAGAGTCTGAGACCAGAAACTCGTTAGACCATTAACCATTAACTGTTGATAAGCCATATATATTTTATACAAAAATCAACGTCTTGTCGAGGTTCCTCGTCGTGTTTCTAAGAGTTGTTCATTCTTGAAGCTAAAGTCGCCCATGTTGAACTAATACCGGAGGCTTTATGAGGACACATGTGACCTCAGTGTTTTGGAGGGGGGGTTGTTGTATTCCTGTGATCTCCAACAGGCTCTCTCTCTGCAGGCCGTTTAATCTGCCCTGTTAGAGAGGCACTGCAGGCCTTCAGCGGGCCGAGGTGACGTACAGTCAATTCATTATTTCCAGTGGCGGCATGCTCCACATTCTCGGCCCTGAACAGGACGGATTCCACAACGCTGCACCGAGTGAGGAAGAAAGGAGGGTAGAAAGAGGAGGTGGAGGCGACACAAGAGCAATAATCTGAGAGAAAAGCAGCTGAACACTGTTCACTCTTTCATCGCTGTTACGGTGCAGAGATCGACCCCCATCCCACTGCTGATGGTCCAGCCCACTGGTTCCAAGTGACAATGACTCATTAAGACCATTAACAGCAGATTCTACCATTTATACTTATATAATATACTATAACTATACCAGTTTTGGGTTTTTAGGTTCAGGATCTCTTGGACAGATTTCTTCTCAAGAAGTGAAACTTTTTTTGTACATTAAAGTGTTTTTAGGCCTATTTAACAGCGACAGGTTGCTGCAGTAGAGGACTTGTTTACTTCCACCAACAACGCAGATTTATCCAAACTACTTCTGACCATTTTCCGAATGTACAGTAAAGTTTTACGGCCCCGACACAACAAACCGTTCTGATGCATAATGTTAGCCCTCTGGCTCGTAGCATAAGGTTAGCTCTCTAAAAGGAGTGAACTAATATCAATATCTAATATATAATATATAATAAATATCTCCTGTTGCCAAGTCGTATCTAAAGTTCATCCTATTTACTGGAGCAGTGAACAACGTCTCCATCACGTTAGAACATTATGGGATGGTAATGATTCTTCCAGGTATTAGTCAGACCCTTAGGTGTTAGCAGGTATAGAGATATAGAGTTATAGCTTATAAAAAAAACTTTAGATTTTGATACAATTTTTAATTTTAACATATGAAAATATAAAATATTGATCTTATATGTTTTTTATTATAGACAACAACGTAATGTCTATAATAGAGGCTGTTAGATTTCCAACAGCCTCCTCTTCTTCCTTAAACCTTCCTTCTAGCGAGCCGCCCTCTACCCTCTCCATCACCAGCACTGAGGCAGATCAAACAGTGGACACCGTCTGTGATCCACAGACTCTAGAGGACAAAGAGTCAGCCATTGTGGCCGATAGTATGACAGAGTATCGCTCTCTCTCTCTCCGTCTTTCTCCTGACGTCCGTCGCAGGAGGTTTGCCAGCCAGTGAACACATCGTCACACACTGGCACAAACTGCTGCAGCGGGACAGACTGGACATTGTTCTGACTGCCACAGGCCTCCAGTGCAGCCCGGAAGCTCACTGACAGCAGATCTGACGGGTGCAAGTTTACATGTGTCCAAAGCAGCGGTTACAGTGGAAAAAACCCTGGTTCTCTCCATTTGGTAAGAAGCACAACAGACTCAGCTACACGGGTTAGCATGTGAATGCAACTTTCCCAACTCCCATGCTAAGTAAATACAGTAAAAGAAAGCTAAAGTTTCACAGTTCTTGTGCAATAGTCTCCATCAACTGGATTAAACCAGTTAGAAGTAGTTCCCCAGTCTTTGTTGTAGCTTTGTGGTGACACATTTTTCCCTGCTGGTTCATAGTGAAGTACAGTCAGCAAAAAGTTCACCTGCACTTGACATCAAACAGCCCCGACTGTGGCAATTCTAGAGCGAATACATGCAAGCGCAGACTTGTGTCCACTTTGTTGGTTCTAGATAACATCCAGCTGATCGCTGGTGGCGAAGTTTCTGTCCTATCAACTTTCAATGGTACTTTCTGTGCCAACCACGGTGGCCACAGGTAACAAGGAATCAGGGTGCCTGAGAAACAGCTACCACATTACCCACTCCCGACTAGGGGGGGATACGGGACTCTTCAGAAAAGTGTCTGTCGTCCCCTAATAGTTGAGTAAACTGTTAGTCACTGAGAAGAGTCGACGCACTTTTCATTAGTCGAATATGTCACCGGGACAAAGTATCGTGGGATTGTTGCAACACAGAACTTTTCTCTGCTTGTACTAACAGTGCTAGCTGCTAGTTAGCGGTCTGTTAGCTGACTGTAGCGGACTGCGAGCTCCAAGGGGAAGTTCTATAGCCAGAGAGGGTCAATGGAGCTGGAGACTCCTACTGACCACGGCCGGGACCAAACACAGCCGACACCATTAGAGGCCGGGTGGTTTACAGCGGCTCCGACCAGGACTAGACACAGCAGGATGAGGCGGAGGAGTAAGTCTGTAGAGAGTTGATTTGTAAGTAAAGTTATCCATCATCCATTGTATCGATAAGTCCGCCAGTATTTGTGTTAGTTAGAAGTTATTTATTATTTCGTGTTTTGAAATATAGATATTTAAATCATTAAAGTAATATCAGAAAGGTTCGACAAGATCTTCAGTTGGGGACAGTCTTAATCCGGCTGTAGTTTAATGTTTCAAGACCAAGAGAACATTTAAATGTGGGACAGACGCTGAACTTAGAGAGAGACGCAGCAGCAGAGCATAAAAACTGACCTTCAACCTCCACGAGCAGAAACATTGAACAACATTAGAAGCTGAAGAGTCACACACATGATGGATCCTCAGAGTGCAAACACGCTGTCGGGCCTCAGATCCGTGTTCTCATTAAACGCTGACAGTCCTGTGTTTTATGGGCTGACAGCACACAGAATTAGCGTGGAGGCTCTCAAAGGGAGCACTCAGTCACAGAGGCCTTCTGGGAAAAGATTACTGACACAGACACGAAGCTTTAGAGGTTACCACGGCGACGGGCTCTCAGAGACATTAAAAAGCGGCGAGCGAGGGGCGGGAGATGTCGAGGAAAGCCTGTTTGTCTTGCAGTGAAGATCCACTTGACTTCAGATAGCAGCTGATTAATCTGGAGCCCATTAGAGCTGCAAGCTGTAAACGTTGGATGATGCTTTATTGATTCTAGAGCTGTGAACTCCACATGAGATTAAATCATTAACACACTGCAGGTGAAATGTATATAATGCAGGAAAGATTCACTCTGTGGATTGGGAACATTTTGAGACTTTTCAAAGGCTTTTAATGCCCCTAAATGCTGTTTCACTCCTGAAACTAAACCTGGCATGATAAGTATATTTAAATTGCCACCTTTAAACAGTACTCCAGCCATGTCTTTGTCAGCAGCGTTATAATTAATTAATTGAGCTGAATAGGAATATGGAAAATGGAATAGGCCACGCCCACTACCATTTTTTTTTGGCAGAATTGCGATAAATGACAAACCGACTTTTTCAAACTCGTCTGAGGCAGTAAGTCCGATCCTTATAAGAACCTGCCGCATCAAAGGTCGTATAAATAATTCTGATACATCAAAAAATGCACAAGTTATGAAGGAACAGCTTCCTGTAGAGTACATTTGAAACAGGAAGTTATGTTGTATCTCTGCTAAGGTTGGTCGGATGAACACGAAGCTAAGTCCAGTTGTTGTCCATGCCACAGTGAGGTTGTGTGCAAAATCTGGTGCAAATCAGCCACTAGGTGGAGCTTTTATTGCAAAATCACAAAAAACACTAAAATAGCCTTCCTAGACTGCTGTTGTCTCTAATCCACAACATAACCATTGTATTTTTCTGTCATTAATTAACACACATTTCCATCTAAAACAACAGCTAATGTAGCAGCTACATTAAACCTCCATGAAGCATTTCAACCCTTCAGTTGGACCCGCTGTGTTCAGAGCTCGCTCACCTTTCCCTTCTGTTTGAGAGGTTCGATGGTGAGGCTGTCGGCTCCAATGTCCACTATCGTTCCCAGCTGGAACCCGTCCGCTGGGTGGGGCGCCCACACCGGCTTCCCATCCTCCATCGCGCCGCTCTGAGGGCTCTGGAAAACATGACAAACGTAGTAAGTCAGAGAGGTGTTTCCTCCAGTACAATGTTTGCTTTATTTGACATGAAAGTTCACCTTGGTGTTTATGAGCTGAAATTTACTGCACTTCAACCCTGAAGTCTCCTCACAACACACATTTCTGTTACTGCAGTCTCAGTTTGATTAAATCGTAATTAAACAAAGTAAAAGGTAATTGATTCTGCAGTGGCATCTTCTGCTCTCACACATTAAAATGTAGTTCAATAGCTGTTCATTACTATTTCTGAATTAAATGTAGATTTGTTTTTTATGCTTTACTTCACTGACGTATTTCTACATTTTAGGATCTTGTGTGGATGTCTATGATAGCTTTTAATCTTTGAGTCTTATATGTTAAAAATAAAAAAAGTATAAAAATATATTAAAATGTCTTCAATAAAACAAACTAAAAAAACAGTGGATCTTAAAATCTAATGTAGCATTTAAACTTTTTAGGAGTATTTATACTCTTTGATTGGATTTATTGGCCGTTGCAAAACTACATTAAATAAATCTCAACAAGCTGGGACAAAATCTGAAGCACATTTTTTTATTTCTGTACAAAACGTTTTAACTGGCAAGAGTTTAAAAGATGTTTTAATGTTATATTAACCTTCCTACATCTGTCACAACAGCAGCAGTTATGTGGTAAATTATTGAAATTCAAAAACTGGAGCGATCCTCAAACTGCGGCCAACATACAGACTGTATCTGTATCGACTAACTGTGTCCGGAGTTCTCTGGGGCTTTGTGGCAGCCAACAAACCAATTACAGCTTTATTGAGTCAAACTAGCAGCTGATCGTGTTACTGATCTTGGAACAGGATGAGGTCTTTTCCCTCTGGGACCACCTTGACACTCCGGCTGGTGTACGGCACAAAAAAACATTTTACACTGGATTTCTCTATCATGTAAAGTGAATATAAAGGCACATATACACTATTAACTATATAATATATATATTAGCAGACATATTAAAGAACTTAATTACTTTATTAATGGCTTATTTGATATGACCATAATGTGTACATGAATTATGCTTTGTTCAGTATATCGTACGATTTTCATGATGTGATGTACACATTGCTTACAGACTGCGATGTTCATTGACGCTTTCAGTTTTAATCTTGTTTTATTTAATTATATACGTTTTTAGTCTCCACAAAACTACTTGGTTGGGTTTAGGAAAATATGAGCTTCTCACTTTCTCGATTCACCATACATTTTTTGGTATCTGATTCACATTTTCTGTGAATCGGGTTTCTGAAACCATTTCTTTTGGTCTGAAAGCTCCAAATGGTCGAACACTGAGGCAGAATGAGCACATAGTGAACTCTTCGCCCATTTTCCAGCTGAGACCACTGGGGGAGAATATATTGGCAATCACCGGTTGTTGGGCTGATGGTGGCCATTTGGAAAATCGCCCCAACCATCGTCTGAACAACCTTTAATGGCAATCCATCCAATAGTTGTTAGGATATTTCAGCCAAAAACCAGCTGACATCCCTAGAGCCAAAAATAAAAGTAAATATTCCTCTCCTTCAAATATTATTCTAAAAACAAGACTGTAAATATACTTAGGAAAGGGAGGGTTACTGTTAACAGAGTACTGTAGCTGTAGTTACTTCTGTTGTCTCCTTTAACACAAGCAGCCGGAGGGACAGCCGACCACAAACTACCAACATGTGTAAGAAAACCAGAAAAACAAGACTCCAACCCTCTGAACCAGAGTGTTTACATGCACACTGCGCTCAAGGTCATCTGTGAGGGGGAGTCAGCGCTGCAGATGATGATCCTTTACAGGTCAACTCCTCGTGTAACCATCATAAATCCCAAGAAAAGGCAAAGGCAGCAAATGTGACACAGTGTTGATGTCATCAACCAAAAACAGAAACACTGTGACTCATTCAGCTTTAAGCATCAAACCAAAGCCAAAAGAAACAAGTTTAATGCCAACTGGGAGCATCCCGACTCTTTGTGACGAGTCAACGTCACCGAGCAGCGACTCTGGTGCCAATAAGACGTGAGCCAAGTAACAGTTTCCATCCACACAGCTGAGGCCGGCGTTCTCTCTTCACGCGCTGGCTTCCTGCCAAACTGCCAAACTTAATAACAGCACTAACTCTTCTATGGGAACTTAAAATAATTACCCCACAGTCCAGCTCTATCTGAGTGCCACACTAAGAGGCTATTAAATTCAATTAGGGATATTAAACCATCAACTGTCTGAGCACAATCGACTCTTTTCTTAGTGCTGGAACCGGAGGAGGATCACTGGTTTGATCCCTTCAGTGGATCAGGTCTTCCTCACTACAGTTTACAGAATTTGTATTCGTGGAACAAACTGTATGGTTACACAGTGTGGATGTTATTGAGTAAAGGTCAGAGACTTTGCCCCGTAGCTGTAAGGTCACAGGTTCAAGCACAGCTACAACAAACAGTGTGTTCATCAGCGGGAACTGCAGTCTGAATCCACTTCAGACCTTTGAGATTTGTTTACAAGGATGAGTCTGATGATATTCTACATTGTTCTTCTTGTCAATGAATCTCATGAAAACACCATCTAGAACCATCTAGAAAGTCATCGTCGGAAACAGTTTGGAAAAGGGCAGGCATTTTCAAAAACTACTTGGCTGGTGATTAGATGAACCACCTGTTTATCACGGTGAACTTCAACCGTATCAGGTAGTCAAACTCCTACAGAAACCAGTCGGGAGAAGAGAGAAAACATCTTTTTCCAGAAATACTCTCCACTTCTGATATAACTGATGCAGCATTCACGCTACCCTCTTTAGCAGTTACCGTTGTTGTTTAACAAACTCCCTCACAGGACACCGATTGATCCGATACCACTGTACGGACACAAACATATAGATTGAAGCCTGTCAAAATGGATTCTCACGTGATCTCACGAGTCCAGCTGCCTCGCAATCCTCATCACATTAAATGAGATGTTATTGTGCTATAAACAACCAAAAATATGTTTTGTGACAGCATTCAACCGAATGGTGACACATTAAAGGCTTCCTTTATAACCTCGCTGGGCCAATATAAAACATTCACTAATAACTTCAATTCCAATAAAATCTTTAGTGCTTTACTACTACAACCTAATGATGGCCTACACCCCAATGTGAGAGTTCACTAACACAATCTACTATTTGCTATCTGTAGAGTGTAACAAATTCCGTTAGCATTGGAGGAAAGAGTCTAATTTACATAAGTATTGTACAGAATTAAGGTACTTTGATTACTTTTTTTCACCAAAAACAGCACATGAAAATTCAAGGATTCCCCTTAGGAATCCCTGTAACCTTTTGTATAATATTTTTTGCATTTTGTAAATTAATTCTGTTTATCTGTCCAACAAGTGTTTAAAGGCTTCATAACCACAACTCTCATTAGAAAGGTACAAACAAAACGTCCAGACAGGCCGTTGATATCGGACCATTCTGCAATAAAACCGCATTATATTCAATTAGAGCTTGTTTAAGATCAAGTAAACCATGTTGTATATTCACATAAGGGAGATTCTCACATGCTGCCCTTCCTGAGTAAAGCTGGGGTATAAAAGGATCTGAACACTGTGGTTTCTGCCTGATCCGAGGCCGGACAGTAGGCTGACTGAATGTAGATCAAAGGTTGCTGGTAACTCATTGTCAGGGCTGTAAAATTCCCCCGGTGAACAAAGCACCACACTGCATTTCGTTGTGATATAAAAAGGGGCCATTTAAGGAGAACATAGTGCTATAATCAATCCTCTAACTGCTCAGTGCCAGGCAGCCGGTCAAATACTGGTTCACCACTGATGTGTGTATAATCTATTATTCATGCAACAGATTATTAAAGAGTTATTTCCAGTATCAAAGGATAAAGCAGGCATAACTACTAGTGTTGATATAATGTCCCAGAAATGACAGCGATATTAGGTTTAAGGTTTTGGATTAGTAAGTTGTTCAGTAGGAGCGTTTGTCTCTCCCTCTAAGACGATTCGATATGTATCCAGATACATGGGCTACTTGCGAATCCCAAGTATCGTCCGGTTCATGGTACATTTAGATCCATCCAGGGGTCCGCGTACCGAAGTTAAAACCGATTTCGGTAAATCTTTCCACCCCCATTAGGTCGGTAGAGAGTTTGGTAGGTAGGTTTCAAGAGTAGGTAGAAGGAGTTTTAGGTAGGTTGGCTGGTTTCTTAGATAAAGTGGTAGGAAGCTTTTATGGGTAGATTTCGTTTTTTTTTTTAGGTAGGTGGGTAAGTAGGTGATAAGGTAGGTGTCTGCGTAAATAAGTAGCTGTCTAGGTAGGTAGGCAAGGAGATAGTTAGGTATTTAGCTAGGTAGTCAGTTTGGTAAGTCAGTAGGATTTTCGGAAAGGTTGGCAGGTTGATAAGTTGTTTTAGGCAGTTACTTTGGTAGATTTTATTTAGGTGTTTAGGTAGGAAAGTTGTTCAGGTAGAGAGGTAGTTTGGTTAGTTCTTAGATGGGTGGTACGAATGTTTTATGGGTAGACAGATCAGCCGTTTACCTACCTAAGGTAGATTATGTAGGTGTTTTGGGTAACAAGGAACCTAGCCTGAACTTTTTAACTAACCAGATTATGATTCCCTACACCTCTTTCAACATATTAATCTGTAAAACTAAAACACATGATTACTGGTATCTGTTAACTGCAACAAAAACTGCTCTGATATCAGAGAGAAGGAAATATTCCATCGTAACATAAAAGTTTTTGTTTGAAGACTCTGACAAGAGAGCTGGTTGTGACGACTCGGAGTCATTATGGAGGTCAGACTATGGCGTTGATTGGACAGATGGACGCTGATGAGTCAGCTCTACAGTCACAGCCTCTCTGACCAGGATGTTAAACTCTGTCCTCACTCACAAATGTGTAACCAAGGAGCAGGAAGAATCACAAAGATAGGACCTTAATATCCAATCCAACTGACTTCCTGATAAACCCTGTCAGGAACT